CAAACAATAAAGAATTTGTACGAGTAAAATTAAAAACATAGTATTATCCAGATCTAAATAAGAAATACATTAATTTTTAATAATACTTAATCAATAAAAATAAATGAATCACAATAAAACAACATAATTATTTTTAATAAATATTAATACATATAAATATAGAATCTAGATACACTAAAAGGTTAATGTATTCTAAAATAAAGAATGCCATGTAAAAAAATATATCAATAACATATATATGTCTAGATCAAAATAATAAATACACAAATTTTAAGAATATTTTTTTTATATAGATTAATTTTAAAATATATTTCATAAATTATCATATAACTTTTATTTAAATAAAAAATTGTTAAATGCTTTTATCATTTTATTTTATATATTTTTATTCTCTATAACTTATTTTTAAGTAACAGTTGCTTGATTAAGCATATATACTTATTATGATATTAATGTTAATGATTTTAAAAAAATTGTTAAACACCTATGATTTGATGTAATACTATCTCAGCATATTAACATTTATTTTTATTTTAAATAAGAGAAGAAATACAATTTTACTGTCTCATAATAAAGAAAAAAAGATAACTTGACAAAAAATAAAATAAAATTCTAAGGTTGTTGAAGACGTCCATCGTCGTAGCTGTCACTCTCAGCATCAAGCAATGTTAACTAGAATCTTTTTTTCAACTTCTTAAACCTGCGATTTCTTTTTTAATATCCTCAATGAGTTATCCGTGAATTTAATTTTCAAACAAAGTTTAATGTAACTTAAAATTAAATTTTATTAAAAGTGATATAAATTAATTTTTGGAAAATAAATTTTTATAACGCATTTAAGTCTCTTTTAAAAATGGAATTTTAAATTAAATTAAATTTTAAAAGTAACAAAAAATCCAAAATGCAAGTAGAAAAAAAAATTGTATAATCTCGAACAACCTATTTTGACTTTGACAAAATAAACAAGCTACAGAATAAAAATCTTATTTTGACGAAAGTAAAAAAATGTTTTGAAAATTTGGATTAGAAACTATTAAATCCTGTAACCTTTATTTCAACACCTTTGTTTGTATTGCCATTTTTGACCTTCATTAGGTTAAAAGAAATAATTTTTATAAGTTCAAACGAACATCCGTTGACCAAAACGAACATCCAAGTAGGCGAATAAGGATAAGGAGCAAAATGGATTCCCAACATCAAATATTTGAATAACTTCAACCGAATACCGAATAAAAAAGTGTTTCTTATGATACTTATAAATTTGAGATTATATTGATGATCGTACTTTTTTTTCAATTTATAAGATAAGTAAAAATTATCAATAAAAAAACTTAAATCAGTCTCGGTGAGGAAAAAAGAAAGTACTTTGCCATCTGAGGTTAGAATCAAAAGAGTTAGTCAAAAATAATTTTTAAGAAAATATAAATGTGTTACATGCTTCAAATAATTAAGACATTTTCAGTTAACTATAGGTTTTCAATATATGTAACGTTATAAAAAGATAATGTTGCATCATATAATTAGTACTCGATATTATTCACTGCAATGTTTTTCAAAATTTAGAACATGTAATTACATTATAAAAAATATATTTTTTTATAATTATTATATATTTGATTTTTAATTTACTAAACATTGTCTTTAAATTTTAAAAAATAAAGTTACCAAAATGCATATGGAATAATACTCAAAATATCAGAGAAGATTAAATGGGATATGGAAAGCTCCGGCCAATGTTTTGAACATCAACTTTGGAATGGGTCTGGAACAAACTTGAAGCCTTTTACACCAATATTATGACATATGTTACCAATGTATAAGTTATCAAAGGTTTTTATTGTATATGTAAGTGAAACAAATGATTAAAATAATAAACAGAGAAATTCTTATTTGATATGAATAAAACTTTATAATAGCCCAACAAAATAGATACTTATTTATGGCTAATAAGTTTGAGAGATTATTTTATATTTTTTAATTAATAATTATAATTCTTTTAATATTTTAAAGATTAAAAGATATTAATGTATTTTTTAATTAAGCTACTAATTTTATTATTTATTAATATAAAATTAATAATATGATTATTCTATATATAGAAGAGACTATCAAAATTTATTTATTTATTTATTTATACAAATAACAAATAAATATTTGATTAGTACAAAATTCATAATAAATAATATTGTGAAAGTAATAATAATAATAACAATAAATAAATGTAAATGTTTTTTACTTTTTATAACTAAAAATATATATTAATAATTGTTTATTTTTATAAAATGAATTTACAGTACTATTCATTGAGCAGGCTGTGTGATTCAAAGTCAAAACTCTTATATTTTATTGTGGGAGTATGAACGTGTGGATTTTGCCCACGAGTTCGCCATACGACGTGCTTGTAGTTTCTCCCAACTCTCAATTATGGTGACTTTATTGACGATTAAAGTTTAAGATTAATAATAAAAGTGGATTGAGATAAATAATAAAAAATATATAATATGATAAATTTTGTGTTTAAAGTTAGAGATTGAGTTTTTTTTAATTTAAAAAGTTTAAGATTAATTTTGCTTATTATTTATACTTGTTATTAGTCTAATAACGTTAGTACATGATGAGATTTTAATATTTTTTTAATTAAATACATTAACCTCATGCATATAAATATAATTTAAAAAATATAACGAGTAATGTAATATTATAATAATAATAATAAATAATAATAATAATTATTATTATTATTAATGTATTTTCATTCGTTCCTCTCTCTAATCAATCCTGTAGTATACGAGCTATTCATAAAAGTTCATTATAGTTTACTTTTGTTGGACTGCATGCTGAGTTTGACTAATTCCCTGTTTGACCAAATGATCATCCTCAACGTTCATTAATTAATCTCCCCCTTGTTGTTTTTATTGTAGAGAATAATCTTATCCATACAAATAATTAATTAGATATACTTTGGGTTTCCAAACATAATAAAAGCTTATACTTTATAATGTATACCTGTGTGTTTGAATTAGTTATGAAAGTATATTGTTTTGATAATTAATTACATAAAATAAGTTTTATTCCTTTTTTTTTTGTATTTTAAACCAATCAATTAGAGACCAAATGATAAAATAAATATTTGCTAAGAAAATTGTTATCTTTTAATTATAATTTTCAAAGTTGTGTTTGTCATCGAAATCATTGTTAATGTTATAATTGTTATCTTTTAATTATAATTGTCAACAACAATTTTTTTTTTTTCATTTGGATTATAATTTTTAAAAACAATTCCCTTTTACATGCTCCAAGTTATAAGCCAAATCGTGTTTTTTACGTAATACTTTTCATAGTGATCTGTTGAGCAAATGAGTGGCTGCATGCGTCATTTTAAGTTTAAAAACCGTGTTTTACACTCACTAAATGTACGTTAAAGTTAAATTCGAATATTAATCGATACATATTAAATTCGTTTATTAATAGATAAAGACGATAAATTATTATTACAACAGTTGTTATATTTGTTAATTTGAGATTTTACTTTACTAAATATAGAAAACTTTGATTCTAGAGATTTACACGCTTTACCTATAATTCATTTGTTATTTTTAAATATTAACTATTACTTGTTTACTTTGTTTGCTTAAGCTTTATAATTTTAGTGTGTTATTTTAAGTATAAAACAATATAATTGTAATATGTTTTGACTTTAGTAAAGATGTTATTTGTTGATTTTTATTCATTAAAATGATGAATAATAATAATAATAATAAATTCATTTTTGGATGAAAAGTATAATATAATAATAACAAGCGACATGAACCTTAAATAAAAGAATATAAATTCATATTTTAAGATTAAAAAAATGATATGGACATTTTTATGTAAAAATAATTATTACACTTACGAATACTATTTTAATAATCCATGAGGTGCTAGAGATTAAGAAAAAAAAATCATGAACTTAATTTGCATAGTAAATTATAATATAATAAAAAGACAAATAAAAATTTCTTATTTTTTCAAATAAAAGAATATGTATTATTTTTTAATTTAATTTAAATATACTAATAATGTTAATATTTTAACATGACACCCAACCATAAATCATCATATGAATAAGAATTGTTAATTTTTTTAATAAATAATAAAAGTTCTATTTACAATGCATTATATAAAGATCAATATATTAAAATTAAAATAAGTTTCTAAAATAATCTATAACAAAAACAATTTTTTTCTTACAATAAATTTCCATTTTTAATTTTTTTTATAAAATTAAGGTAATTTAATAGACAATAAAATTGGTTAAATTTAAGAGATGTGAAATGTTTTTTGACCTCATGTGATAGTGAAGCTAATAAGATAAAATAAAATAACTTATTTTATTCTATTTTATTTTTCATTATTCATTAAAATGAGATAAAATATATTATCCTTTTTAAGTTATTGTATCAGATTGATAGCTTAAATTTGTATCATAATAAAGACAATAGATTAAAAATAATTAATGTAGTTTTTTTTTTTTCATTTTACTTGTATATCATGTTGTCAGTATTTTTAAAAAATATACATAAATTACTTTAAAAAATATTGTTTTAATGTATTTTATTAAAATATCATTTTATAACCAGATTTTCTTATATTTTCAGTAAATATATTTTTTAATTTATCACTATTTTTCAATTATAAATAAATAAAAAAATTATAATTTAACATGTTTTTAAATATTATTTATACAAATATAATTATAGTGCCCTATTAATACAATTATTCTCATATTATTAATTAATATAATATAAGAAAAATTTAAATTTAAACACTCATAAAAAATATGTTTACTATATTAAATATTTAAAATAAAATAGTAATATTATTAAATAGTTATTTTGATTGATAATATTTTATTGAAATGCAGTTCGTATGGGGTCAAGTGTTCTAGAAAGTAAAAAAAAAATCGCCGCAATAGGCCATATTCTATAGAGTCTAGACTTGCATAGAGGGGGTTTGGTAAACACAGCAGTTGGTCAAAAGTAAAAGGCAAAGCGAATTGTGGCGCAGCCTAGGAAGGTTCGCCATGTGACTGTCACGCACTCCCCCATTTTTCCACCTACAAAACCCCTTCCACCCCGTCCTGTCAGTCTCACTTCACAAACTGCAATTCATCCTCAAAACTTCCTCTCTCTCTCTCTCTCTCACTCTCATCCATTCATCATACAAATCCTCATCAACCAATATGTGTGGCGGTGCTATCATCGCTGACTTCATACCCCGCCGAGGAGCTCGCCGCCTCACGGCCTCCGAGCTCTGGCCTAACTCATTCGCCACCGACTTAGATTATTCTCATAAACAGTCCTCCACCCTCAAAAGATCACACCCTTTCAAAGGTCACTCTTTTTTCTTTACTCACTCTTTTTGTTTGTTTGCTTGTTTTGTTCTTTATGGGATTTGATTTTCTGATAACAGTTAATGAGCAAGTGGAGAAGCCGGTGAAAAGGCAGCGGAAGAATCTCTACAGAGGGATTCGGCAGCGTCCTTGGGGAAAATGGGCTGCGGAGATTCGCGATCCTAGAAAAGGAGTTCGTGTCTGGTTGGGGACCTTCAACACTGCAGAAGAAGCTGCTAGAGCTTATGACCAAGAGGCTCGAAAAATCCGCGGCAAGAAAGCCAAGGTGAATTTCCCCAACGAAGACGACGAGTATTCCATTCAAGCTCGTGCTACCAATAATCAACACCTTCCTTTCCGACCCCAACCCCAGAACCCTCCTCTGTATCAACAGCAATACCCTTGCAATGTCAATAATGCCCCTACAAACCTCAACTTTGAGTTTGGTTATGATCTCAACCAAACTGGGCCTTTTCCTTCCCCCGTGGAAGCTGTCAACACTGACTCCTTTGTTGTTTCTGGCGATGAAAATTCCGATTATGGAACTGGGTCAGGGTTAGGGTCTGGTTCGGAGGGTGCCTATTCGACGACGGAGTTCATGGGAACAAGTCAGAATGGGAACGGTTTTTTGGGAGGTGCGGTGGAGGCAAATGAGAAAAAGCCACAAGTGATTGAAGCTCAAGATGGTAAGAACACAGTGCAGGAGCTATCCGAGGAATTGATGGCGTACGAAAATTACATGAAGTTTTATCAGATTCCGTACTACGACGGACAATCGACGCCGCCGAATAATGTTCAGGAAAGCGTGGTCGGGGATCTCTGGAGCTTCGATTAATGATGATTTTCTTTTCGTGCTTTTATTATGTTTCTTCGTCAATGCTGTGAAAGCTTCTCCCCATTCTCCTGACTAACATCTCTGCGTTTTTGCAGGGTGGGTTGAAATGTAAATTGGGTCCTTGGGTAGAATTAGATGTCGTTTCATGAGTTTCGAACTTTTTTTGTTGATTTAATATTAATTTGTTTGTTTTTGGAATTTAGGGTCATTGTCTAGTTTTGTTGATTTTTAATTTTTCTTTTGGTGGTACTGTTATGTTGAACTGTATTATTACCAGATAAATTTAACATTGTTTGAATTCCGATTACATTTTTTCTTTCGGCAAATTTTATTTATTGCATATTTCATTCCACTCGATGATACTTATGTCGTCTCCGTCCCTAATTCGCGGATGGAGAACAGTCAAAAGCATGGTGGTGGGTCAAACGGGGCTCATTGCGGCGTAATGCTTTTAACATGGTAATTATAAGCTGGAGTTGATTTGGTTTTGCGGCAAGAAAAATGAGGAAATGCAATTGGAAAAATTAATAAAAGGCCTCCAAACAATCAATAGTGGTAAATGTTATGATTCAAGTTTTACATTGAAAAATTGTTTTGTGTAACTTTTTCTTTGGTTGATGAATGGGGTCAAATGCGTTTCTTTTTTTAATGAAAAAGAATAATTTATACTTCTTTTGGGGTGCGTTAATAAATTGAATGTTGTTGTAGATAACGTAAATCTTAGGATAATTGAATGATGAATGGGAAGAAAGCAGGGAGTGGAATCCAGTGGCGCAGCTGGTTTTGAGATGTTTACGGTTTGAAGCAGGCTTCTATTTGTTGGATATTTTAAAAACAACGTACGCGGCACCCGGTGGGCGCATATGGGTTTTGGGCTAAGGCAAACTTGTCCTTGTGACCTGTGCAGTGTTGCAGTAGTACAACTACGCTACTATGCCTTACCACTGTCACATTGGTTTCTCGTCGTTCCGGCCAGCCTGTCACGGTACTACACAGCTCCTTTTTTCACTATTCAAATTACGTTTTTTGTTCCATAACTTATTTAATAACTAATATAAATATAACCTATTAAACACTTATGTAAATTCAATAACTTTTTTTAATTAATTTCTTATAATTTTATTTATTATTTTTTATAGGTTAATTATATGTTACATTTTATTATTTATTACTTATTACTTTTAACTTTTTTTTCAAATTTTAATGCTCTGCTTTATTGGAAAAGGAGCAAAGGAAGATACGAAAGAAAGGAAGGCAGATGGAGTGGGGTCCATAAAATGTTTCATTAAAAAGTGAAAAAATTAAGAAGGGCAATTTTTTATATATTCTTAAATTTTTTTTCTCTATAAATGGATATTTTAGATTTTATTTTATTTTATAATTAAACATCCTAAATGTTAATTAATTTTTAAGATTTATAAATTCTCTAAATGAGTACTCTAAATTTTAATTTTATTCTAATTAACTCCTAAACTACCTTTTATAAATAACTCGTTCGAAAAATTTAATTAAAATTATTAATAAAGAAAACCATCTAGTTATTGAGTGAAGTCTGAATCTTTGGGCTTGCAGCTATTAGTATGGAGGTGTTGGGTTCTTGTTCAGTAATCTTAAAAGGCCTACCCAATTATGCAATTTGTGGGCTTCAACATGAACAGAAGGCCCAACAGAGACCTCAAAAAAGTCAAAACCCTAACCTGTATGATTGTGCTTAACACTGGAAAGTTGTTGGTGGTGGCGGTAGCACGCAGAGAGCGGAGAAGATGGTGTCGTTGAAGCTACAGAAGCGGTTGGCCGCCAGCGTTCTCAAGTGCGGCAGGGGAAAGGTTTGGCTTGATCCCAACGAAGTCAATGAAATCTCCATGGCCAATTCTCGTACACTCTCTTCCTCTCTGTTTCTTTATAACTCAACGATTTTTTCTTCTCCGTATGAACATGTTTTCTACTATGTAATTTAAACTACTATTAGGTTATTTTCTGATGCACGTGTCTATTTAGGACAAAACATAAGGAAGTTGGTAAAGGATGGGTTTATTATCAGGAAACCAACTAAGATTCACTCTCGCTCTCGTGCTCGTCGAATGAAGGAGGCCAAGAGGAAGGGTCGCCACTCAGGATATGGTTCGTATTGACCTTAATTTGATTCATTTCTAATGAATTTCGACATCACCTTGATTGTAATTTCTGGACTTGTTGAGATAGTTGTGGTTCATAATCTTAAAAATTGTTACCCGATTCCAAGTTGTTGGGAAGAAATGGTGAAAACGAGATTATGTTGTTTTCACTATTTTCTTTGTAAATTCTTAAAAACTGGAAGTAAGGTGAAATCAAGTGGCATTTTTTGTAATTATTTGTTAAAACATATCAAGTGAAAATAAAAACAGGTAAATCCAACACCTTTTTATAATGCTTAATGTGTCGAACTTTGCTAGTTTAGTGTATGAACATTACTATTTGCTCCGGGGTGGGGGGGTTGTCCTTGAAATGAATTGTTCTATTGTTATTGGGTGAAGGTATCATTTTTTAATTGCCAATTAGGTAAGCGTAAGGGTACAAGGGAGGCAAGGCTTCCTACCAAAATCCTTTGGATGAGGAGGATGCGTGTCCTTAGACGCTTGCTTCGCAAGTACAGGGAATCAAAGAAGATTGACAAGCACATGTACCACGACATGTATATGAAGGTGAAAGGTAATGTTTTCAAGAACAAGAGAGTGCTTATGGAGAGCATACACAAGTCCAAGGCTGAGAAGGCAAGAGAGAAGACCTTGTCTGACCAGTTTGAGGCAAAGCGTGCAAAGAACAAGGCTAGCAGGGAGAGGAAAATTGCTCGGAGAGAGGAGCGCTTGGCTCATGTAAGTTTTCTATTGTTTTGTGAATCTAGTTGTGTATAACTGTTGTAACTGAATTTGTTTTTCACTTGGCAATCTAATGCACTAACCATAAGGAGTATTGTCACCAAAGTTGGTAATAAGTAATTGAAGTTTTTTTCCTCTGTCTGTATCACGTCTAGGGTCCGGGAGAGAAGCCATCAGCAGCACCAAGTGCAACAGCATCTCAGCCAGCTCAGTGAGTATTATGTTTATGCCTTTGTGCTTGTGCTTCTGTGAATCTGTAGTGTTGCTTTTTGTTATGTTATGTTTGTCTTGTGGTCTAAAGGAAGGATTTTTTATGTAGAGCACCAAAGAAATCCAAGAAGTGAGTCATAATCCAGAGATTTGATGGATGGTAGCTCGTTGTGGGTGCTGGCATCTTCAGTTACTGTGCTCAAGTAATTTTTGTCGAGTATCTTTTTGTTGGTTTTAGATTTTTAGTTACTCTGCTTATGTGTTTGTCCTTTTATATAGCCAACTTAAAACTTCATCCGACATTTTATAATATGCATTAATGATAAATTTTTCCATAATATTTTAAATGGCGAAATAAGACTCTATTGTCCATTGTTGGTGTTCTACTTTTTCAGTACGATGATTCACTCGTTCAAGAAAATATTTGTGTTATCCCTTGTTTAGTTACGTTGCCACTAATCACACCTTAAGATACCAATTAATTACAAATTACTTGATCTTATGCCTCTACTTACCCTCGAAACAAATTGGAATAACAATTGTTGAGTTGACGATAATTATTGATGAAAAAGTAATTCTAATAATAATTGTTAATTATCGGAGTTTCTCAACATTTTATTCTATTTTTGGTCAAGGAGTTTCTCAACATTTTCACCTCAGTATTGGTTGTTAAAGTGTGCATTGATTACGCTTAAATTATTGAGTTTTATGCAGCTTTTCCCTCCTGAATGACTGAATAGAATTGATATATTAAATTGTAAGGTTTAAGAAACTCTTTCTAGATTCTGTGTTAAAGTAAAATGCTAGGTTGTTTAAAATTGTAATAATTTATGTAACATTGTGAAAACGTACGAAAAGTTATTAAAGAAAAAATTTTGCAACTTGTGTGAGTTACTTGGTTGGAATTACCTTACATGATAACATGAATGAATCCTAACGAGGTAATGCTTCTATCATATATCGTATGTTAATGAAGCGCATGCAACTGATTGACGCCATCTTTAATTTTCATGTACTCATCCACTACAGCATTTTTATTTATGTAAATCGTCTGAAAGGGTCATTTAATTCCACTTCTCTAAGAAGGTTTAAATCCACTCACCCACTATAGCGTTTTTTATTTATACATATAACCTTTATCTTATGCCCGTAACTAAATTTGCCATCGATCTATTTCCGGGGGAAAAATTGCAAGCCTAACTATGATACCGACATTTTTTTTCTCAACACCAAGCCTCAGTACTATAAACTTGTGACTAACTAATCTGTGTTTGTCGTAATAAATAAAATAAAATAATAATAATAATAAATAAATATATATGGTTAGTAAATTACATTTTTATCTAAAAATTATCATTATTTAATTTTTATATTCAGAGATAAAATGCTTGGAAAAGATATGTTATATGAAAGAAAAACCAAATTATAAATGAGTTAAACAATTCAAGCTCAAACAAGTCAAGTTAAAATTTTAACTTAGGAATATTTAAATTAATACTTTAAATTGAAATATTTAGTTTTTTTCCCAAGTCAAATTTAAATTAAAATATTTGATTTGACTTAATTCATTAACATCCTATGTTATAGTTTTTTAGTGCTCTTATATTAGAATGGATAAATTTTAAGTTAATACTAAATATTTTTTGAAAGTTCAAAGAAATATGGATCAAGATTCTTTCTTGTGACTAGACGGTCTGTTCAATGTATTTTACACTTTCATTTAAGTGAAAAAAAAGTTTAAGCAAAAGTAAATTTTTTTATTTAACTAGATTATTTATTCGTGCTAAAATGAAAGATAATCTCGATCTTTCCAATGTTATATAATGAGGGATAAGTAATAAGATTATTTATCTTAAATTAATACTAAATGGATAATATAATAATATTATTATATATGTATATGATAAATCATTCATTATATTTAATTTCTTGTTACTACAATTTTTTGACTTAGTAATATTTTGCTTGTATCCCAAGATATTTGAGTTTGACCACTTATTGACGACGCGTGAATAAAGAGGAGAAAAAACCCAAGGTGGTAAGTTATAATTTATTAAAATTGTTGAGCCAAAAAAAAGTATTACAAGTATAGAAGTTGAAATTTTTAACGCAGAATACATAGACTTCAAACTTTTATAAATATATTTTATAATCTTATACTTTGTTAATATAAGTAAATATGTGAAAATTGTTTTATTTTTATATATCCCATGCATGTTTTCTGAATTTGTTCTTAATTGATATCATCATATGTACTAATACAAAATAATTTTATATAGCATTTCAAATAATAGTTGAAAATTGAATTTTTAAAGTTTATCTTTCTTTGAGTAACTACAAAAATTTATCTAAAAATTATCTTTTTTTTTTCCTATCAGTGTTCAGTAGGAGCATTTGAAAATGGAGTGCCGTACATAATGTTCAACTCAATACGGATGTACATTGTGAAGAAGCGCACGTAAAAGGTCAAAGTAAAACACCTTGCGCTGCACGCATAAAGAAGAGTGATATATATGGTGCCTCCTTACACCGTTCATCCAATACACCGGCGAGACAGAGAGAGAGAGAGAGAGAGAGATGGTTTCGGTGAAACTTCAGAAGCGGCTTGGCGCTAGCGTGCTCAAGTGTGGCATAGGCAAGGTTTGGCTTGACCCTAATGAGATCAATGAAATCTGCATGGCCAATTCTCGTACGAACTCAACATCCTTCTATGAGATCAATATGATATATTTGTTTTGTTTGAACCAGAAAATACAACTTCTATGCTTCTACTATTTTGAATGAAATATTATTCTCTGGATAATGAATTTTACACTATTTTCACTTATTTGAATATATAATTTTCTAAGTGTACTATCGAAGTGTCTGATGTATTCTTTTTTGGTGAACATATCTATGGTCACAGGCTAGTCATAAGTCATATTGTATATTACTTTTGTTTATTTTATATTGTTTGTGAATCGGCGTCATAGTTTGGTGGTGGGTTTTCTTTTTCAGGCCAAAACATACGAAAGTTGGTTAAAGATGGCTTCATCATTAGGAAGCCAACTAAGATTCACTCTCGCTCCCATGCTAGGCGAATGAAGGAGGCAAAGATGAAGGGACGCCACTCTGGATATGGTATTTAACTGAGTTGCATTTCATTTGGAAATACCAATTTAATAATGTTTTTATAGCTTAGTGTGAATAGGGTATTATAGTAGAGACTAAAAATGCATATGCGACATTGCTTTGTGGGCATGATGTGAATTTCTCTATGGTCATATTAAAAACCACTATTTAATAATTACAATTATTTGCTTAAATACAAAAAGGTAAGCGGAAGGGTACAAGGGAGGCAAGGTTCCCCACCAAAATCCTTTGGATGAGGAGGATGCGTGTCCTGAGAAGATTGCTTCGCAAGTACAGGGAAGCAAAGAAGATTGATAAGCATATGTACCATGATATGTACATGAAGGTAAAGGGTAATGTGTTCAAGAACAAGAGAGTCTTGATTGAGAGCATACACAAGTCGAAGACTGAAAAAGTTAGAGAGAGGATTTTATTTGACCAATTTGAGGCAAAGCGGGCAAAGAACAAGGCAATTAGGGAGAACAAAATTGCTTGGACAAAAGAGGGTTTGGCAAATGTGGTCTAAAAGAATCTCTTTTGTGCAGAGCAAGAAAGAAATCAAAGCAGTAAGTCGCAAATTCAGTAAAGGTTGTTAGGACGTAAAAATCTTTCAGCCCAAGTAACTGGGCTAATGTATTTTTGACGAGTTTGTGTTTGTTTATACAATGTTAATTTTATTCGAAATTTAGGTTGTACATGTACAATTTGTATTTTGTTTATTTGTTTTTGCTATAGAGATGAGTTGCACCTGGTTGCGAAACACTTGCAAGTTGTTATTATTATTATTATTATTATTGTTTTCTGTTATGAACGTTCTTGTCTCAATTCCAAAGCATTCCTCTTACCACGTTATGTTCTCCGTGAAATTATACTTGATGAAACTATTGATCAATATCCTGATTTGCTCTTAGCCTTTTCTTAGGATTGATGAAGACAGGGACTCTTGGATTACTTGCATGATTTTATGAGCAACTTTAGAGCATCTTTAGTGAGAGTTGCTTATTCTACTTTTGTTTGACATGATAAGAGAAAATTAATTTGAAGATACACTTGCTTTCTATAACTATTTTTTTAGCATCTTGAACTTGGATCCGTAAGAGAGGACAGTAGGAGCAAAGTTATTCTTAGAAAGTTCTTAAAAGCGTAATGTTACATCCAATAGAATACATTCAAGTTTGTTCGCATTTTGTTGTATAAAATTTCTTCACAACATCTAGCAGTGCTATTTTGTCACTGTTTATATTATTTTTCTCCATTTTTTTTGGTCTCTAAAATAAACTAATCATCATGAACACTGAACCAATATCGATATGACTATTAATATTCTGTACAAATGCATCTTGATCCACCCACAAAGGAACTGTCTCGTTTATTTATTTATACTAATTCATACAGATAGAACAAAGTTGTTCTTGTGAAAGTGTCATCTCCATATACCAAAAGCCGGGCACCAATTGAAGTCGAAATAAATAATGGAGATTCATTTCTGTTTCTCTTTATCTCACACTAATTAAAATTACATGACTTCACATAGGATCTTGTCTGTTTGAAATGCCCAACGTTAACAATCCTAATCTACATCTACAAACTGCAAATTATACAATCTGGCACATGCAAAATGATAATTATATGCACAACACAATCGACTGTGATAGAAAAGGACCATTTTGGTATCAAAGGCGAAACAAAATCACCTGATCCAATTCCATAGATGCAATTTTGGTGTTTTGGATTTCAAAGACTTCTTTGGTAGCGTCGATTAGAAAAACGTAGGACATCATTGTCTTTGAGAACGGGTCTAAATCCGATGAGGTCTCCACTTCCGCTGTATGCTTGACCTCTGTTAGTTAGTTGGTGTCCCAACGAATCTGAATTGCCACAAATCCCAAGTTTGACAATAAATGTAACTGTGGTTCCTTGATCAAGACCCTCACTCTCAATCCATATGTGACCTCCCATGAGATTTACAAATCTGATTCAATTTCAAAAGAGAGAGTCAATAGCTCCTTAAAAGAAAAATCTACTACGTAAGGATTTAGAGGGCAAAGTGCAAGTTGTACTGGTAACTACTCATGCAAAAATTAAAGCAGGTTCTAAAAATTGATCATATGTGATCAATGGTTATCAAGGTATCAACTTTGCACATTACCCTCTAAAGTGCATGAAGCACTTCAGAAGATCATGGTTGCAACATAAAACTATAGCAATATCATTCCTTTAGAATATGTGAAAGAATGGTGCCTCATCAGGTATGAAGACCAAAATTACTCTGAATCCTGAGCAGCTCTTATCTGATTCGGTAGTTTTAGAAGGTAGGATTTTGGCATTTTGCCTATACCTTCTACTTATGGCAAGGCCAAGACCGGCACCACTGCTAGGTCGAGTGGGTCCGCTCCGAGAATGAGCAAATTTGGTAAAGAGATGTGGAATGTCTTGTGGTAAAATGCCACATCCAGAATCCTTAATCTGCACAAAACATGGATACTGGGGTAAATAAATAAGGAGGTGGAAAGCAATAACCAGATTAGTTTCAAAGGGTAACCTATATTGACAAAAACAAGATAAGTAGATTTATCCTTGGCATATTCCTAGCCATCAGAGCATGGATGCCCAAGATTTAATTATTTAGATATCCCACACAATCACATTAGAATCCGGTTATGGAACACATGACACTGTCCTGCAACATATACAGCAAGATTTAAGATAATTAAAAAGATATTTGGACCTGTACTCGCATATAGAAATGCCCATCATTAGATGCCGGATAAAACTCGGGGGGTCGCCAATCCTGTAAAGATTCTGGTTTTGCAACAGATGCTCTTACAGAAACATGGCCCTCTTTGGTGAATTTAACAGCATTGCCCACTACATTTAAGAGAATTTGCACAAGTCGTTTTTCATCACCAATAGCAAAAATAGGTAGATCAGGGGCCAGAATTAATGTTATAGGCAATTTCTTCACGGATGCTATAGGCTTTATCAGATTAACAACCTACATGCAAGAATGAAGATAGAAAAGATGAAAACAATATATAAGTTATGGACACGATAAATAATAATGTTTCTGCTGTTTCAAAACATAAGGAGATGATTAATAATAATTACCTCTTCCAAAACTCCATGAAGGCTGAATTTTCCCATTTCTAATTCAAGGTTACCATCTTCCAGTTTAGAAAGATCAAGAACATCATTGATTAATGTTGCCAAAATGTTACTACTCTTTAATACTGTCTCTATCATAACTCTCAGCTCTGGAGTAAGCTCGGTCTCCAGGAGAAGTGAAGACAACGCTATAATTGCATGCATTGGTGTCCTCATTTCATGGTTCATTACTGCAAGAAAATCATTGCGAGCGCGAATTGCCATTTCTGCCTCCTGTCTAGCTACATCTAAAGCAACATTCTGCTCTATGAGTTGATCACGGGCTCGCATAGACTCCTCCAAAATAGCAGCATGTGAAAGTGCAACAGCAACCTGTATGGAAGATAGGAATCAAATCCAGCACATACAGGAATGGAACTTGAAATGTCCTTCTTAACAGCATTCATTTTCCCACATATGAGGTTAGTATAAAGAAAATGAATGCCTACACAGCAATTGAAAATGACAGTGAATTATATAATAGGGTCATTTAGTCAAGTTAGAAGAAAGTGAACATTCCTGTAAAGCGTACAACTGAAAAAAATGTAACAATTAGGTTATTTAGAAGAAATTCATACAAGATAGAACTGTGAAAAAGAGTAAATCAGCCTTTTCTCTTGACAAACACCATAAGATGTTAGCATGTGTTAGTTTAGACCTTTTCGACTCTTCCGATAGGGGTATTTACGAAATTTACCAAAATGGGTTATAAATTTGAGAAATAACCTATAAAGCCCCACTTTGTTATGTTGAGAGGCAAGGCCAGTGGTTGATAGCCATTCCAAACTCTTATAATCTAGGCAACCAACATAGAGGCAAGCAGCAAGGAACTATGAAAATAAGGAACAGGGAACATACTGTTGAAAACAAGAACACAATAAAAATGACAGGGAATAGGAAAAATGAAATCTGAATGGACCTGATCTGCAACAACATCAACAAGTTCCAACTCATGTTCTCGCCATTTTCTAGCACAGTCAGTTGGGAGAATCAAAACCAAGATCGCATAGCTTTTTCCTGAATGATCAGGCCAATCATTAATTTGGAAATTTGAGAGATGCAAAAGAGGCACCCGAACAGCAACAATCTCAGGTGACACATATCTTCCCACAAGAGGTTTGATCCTGGCCAGAGGGCTGGTGTGTGGTATTCGTGTTGCTCGAGGACTACTAAAGACTTCATTGACAATGGGAAGATTTGTTGGCACAGTAGATCCAACCTGTCCCTGGCAGCTCAGAGTATGTGATAGTTGAAGATTCAAACTAGTTCTTGATGGCATCCACAGAGCACATTCCTCCAAACTCAAAGTCCTACCCAGCTCAACAAGGGTAGTCTTGAGAATGGTATGTCTGTCAAGTGTGCTCCTAATTTCATGGGTCAACATTCTAACATGCCTTCCTGTTTCTTCTTGTGTAAGAATAAGCCCCATCTCCCTATCAAGCTCCTCTGCCTTATTCTTAAGAAACAACTCGCGAGTCTTGACACTCAACAGGTCAGGGATAATGTGCACAAGCATCAGCGCGGTGGCACAAGACACAACAGCACACGAGACCTTGGCAATTGTCATTACCACAGCAACAACCTTGGAGTGCATGGAGAATGTCCACAGGTTTATGAAGTGAGTTGCTCCACAAAGAACAATGAAAGCCCCAAACTGCATGAGCACCCATCTATAGGGGAAGAAAGCAGATTTGTGAACAAAATAGATGAGCTCCACAGGAATGGAAAAGTATGCAAGCGCAATTAGCACATCTGATATATACTGATATTTCACAAGAAGCTCATCCGGTGGCCACTGTGTATCGATACAATCACACGACTCCATCATCTACCAATATGAATTCATGTTGCAATTGTCAACAACACCAAACACTATCCACAAACTTGCATGCATTCTATTCTATTTCTATCATAGCCTAGCCAGGTATGTATACAAATTTCAAACCCACGGCCAATTTTAGCTAAGAATTTAACATAATAAAACCAAATATGTTTCTAAAAAACATAACAAATAACATAATACCATATAATAATGTTTGAGTATACATGACGTGATCCGACAACATATAAAGAAGTAAATATGCATAAAATAATTGTATGGGATAAATGGATTACCAGAAAGAGGAAATGGGGAGATCAGAGGTGTACATTTACGGTGGCGTAGATCATTGATGTTGATTGAACAAGTAGAAGTTGAAGCAGTAATGGGAAGGGAATGGAAGGAGGATGAGTAAAGTGAAAAGGTGCACTTCACACGGACATGGATGGCGACTAACTATATCAATTCAGACATGATTCGCACGTGCCCACCACCTTTTTCTTCACACTAGTACGAGGAAAATTTTCTTACTCCTTGCTTGCTATTTATTTAGCACGTTTTATACTGTAAGGAACTTTATAAAGAAAGAGTTTAATTTAAATTTCAGGTTGGCGTATAAGCCTTTATGTTGTTAATTAATTAAAAAAACGTTGTAAATATGCTTTTTAAGTAGTAATTGCAAAAGTTTATAACTTTTAATGATAACAAAATTATAAGCACACGATAGTTTAAAAATTCTTATTCTGACGGACCATTTTAATTGAATTTAGGTTTTAAGAGAATGGAAAAGAAATATAATACATTACGAGTGATCAGAACATGGACTTATATTTTGGACTTTGGAGGTGATAAATTACGTTGAAATAATCTTTGTTGTTACTCTTTATTTAATATTTTTCATTTAAATATTACTATTATTAATTTAATTAAACAATAAAAATAATTTTATTTAAGAATTATTTAAAAAATGACAACAAACATTATAAAGTCATAATAAGACTCATCTAAAAATATAAATTCCTCTAAATATTTTTTTTTTACGTTCTATTTAATCCGACAGTTGAATAAGTTAAATAGGCGGGTTAATAGTTCAGCTCACAGACCAATTATTTTGTTTAAAATAATTAGTATATTATCATTTATTTTACTATATTTATATTTATATAAATAAATAAATTTTAAATATTTTAATATATATTTTAGTTAAACAAATTAATCTACGGGTTAGCATGTTAAAGCAGGACCGAGTACAAGTCAATACTTTTACATATCTATTTAATTTATGGACCAACTCAAATTAGAGTACAGTTGGATAAAAATTTAATTAAGGATACTATGATTCTAGACAAAAGTAAATTTGTTTTTGGGTGAGGGACCCAAGTGATTGAAGTTAATATTCAAAGCAACGATGTGACTGAACAGAGCGAAAGAGACGATCCATCGCTTATTTCTCCGAATATCAGATTGTTGGGTAATGTTCAATGTATTCCGGCGACTGGGACTTTGGCATCATGCCACCAGACATCAAATCACCAATGCCACAATATTAGAAGTGCTAACTAATTGGTCTAGTGTTAAACTTCATTTTTTCTTCCATGTTCCATCCTTTGTCGTTTGGAAAAAAACATTTTTTAATTAATATATTTAGAACACAAATCAATAAGACACATAAAATAACAATTTATTATATTGTTAGTGTTTTATTATCTGTATTTTTTTAAAATTTAGTTCTCTTTTTTTTAATGAAAAAATTAGGTTATTTTCTTACTTCAACATTAAAGACTTTTTTATTTTTAAAATATGAAATTAAAATATGTTTTATCATTTATCTTAAATTATTTTAATATACTTTTAAAATTGAATTTTGTTAATCTCAATTTTTAAAGTTAAGAATAAACTAATAAAAATAAATTTTATTAAAAAAATATTTATTTTACTTTTATAATTTTAATATAATAAATATTTATTTTTTTATAATTTTTTTATTTATAAATATTTAAAGAGGTTAACAAAATCCTAAATATAATGCAGGAACAACAAATAAAAACTCTTCCCTTCATTTGGGTCAGTAAATTTCTGCAATACATTGTGTCGTTACAAATTTGGAGGAGCTCTTTCCTCAAGAATATCAACTTATTGGTTATTGGATTGCCGCTCTCAATTCAATTAAAGGGTACGGTTCAAAAATACTACTTCCACGTAGCTGAAGGTGAAAAAAGGTATTATCAAAATTTAACACTATATGATAGTCAATCAGATGGTCCAAGCATTTTCTCAGGCACAACAAGCTTGTCAAATTCTTCAGAGCTGAGCACTCCGAGTTTCAATGCAGCTTCCTAAACAATCATTGCAAATTTGATATTCAGTCAATTTATTGGACATCCACAAACAACACATATAAATCATTAAGAAATAAATTCATTCGTATAACATCACAACAATTAATCACAGAAACCAGTACAAGAGTTGAAATAGTTCTAAAAGGATACTTGCATAAACAATATGATTCTTAAATTTAATTTGTTAAGAATTAATATATGCCAATATAATATTTTTTTTTAATATTCAAAGGGAGAGTAACAAGGCATCATCACCTTAAGAGTAGTCCCCTCTTTGTGGGCTGTCTTGGCAACTGCTGCTGCCTTGTCATAACCAATTTTCTGGAACAGACAAATCAAATTAAGTTTCAAAACAATGTGAAAATTAGGAAGTTACTAAAATAGACAAGAGAAAACTTACTGGGTTCAAGGATGTGACGAGCATTAGAGACTGCAAGATGAATTGAAAGTCAAACACAAAGTACATTGACATGGGCTCTTAACATTCGGCAGCATGTGAGATTTGTTTGAAATAGGTCAACAACTCACCTCATGCAGTAACTTTGAAATTCTTTCCCTGTTAGCTTGGATACCTCTTACACAATTCTTTTCGAAGGAAACAGATGAATCTCCCAGCAGTCTCAGCGACTAACAAGAATCAAAATAAAGATTAAGCATTTAAGTACATTTTTTAGGTAATGTAGTAGGATATATTAATCCATATTACAAAATTTTGGAATATCAACATAAAAGTTAACATGGTCCTTTAGATTGCACACACCACAGCTTTTTTTATCTTCGTTTTCTGGGCCATCATCATATACCATGTCGTCACAGACACATGCAGCCTAGGAAAAATAATCATAAAACATAATGGTATCTAAAGCATCTTTCATCACGATTTCCCATTTTACTGACATAGCAAGAAGTATCTAACCTTTCAGCCAAGTCCACCTAATTGGTATCAGAATTTTTCTGATGCCGTACTGATTATACAAGAACAATATAGAAATTAACTTTTGCTCCCATACACTAATCTTAATGCTGCTCGAACAATCTCCGTTTCTATGCATCATATGTACTTGGACCAGTTCAGAAGTCCTAGTGTTAGTGTATGCAGAAAAGGATCAACTTTCCTTTGGAGGATTATTATTGTAAGAGCTAAAGTACTCTTAAGTTTAGTTGATTTAATATTATATAAAAGATTTGAACCAATTTAACATCTAGCCACAAGTTCAATCCCCTTGGTGGAATATAAATTAGAAATATACATGATAAAGGATAAATAACATACATGCAGGAGACTACTGGCAATCATTGGCTTGAACACATTGAGCTCAAAATGACCATTTGATCCACCCACTGTGATTGCAACATGGTTTCCCATGACCTGAAAAATGTAATTCATTACATTAATTCAGAAGTTTCCAGTCGCCATAAACTTCAAATTGTATGGCTTTATTACAAGTCCAGAAAAAAACTGTCGGCTAATCAGTAGTTCGTTCATCATAAAATCATAGTATTTAAAAAAATTGAAGTGAATTGATGCCCACCTGTGCACACACCATCGTCAAAGCCTCACATTGGGTAGGGTTAACCTTCCCCTGAAACAGAACAAGGTTGTGGCTAATAGTCAGATTCCCATTGTAAGACAAATAAAATGATAAACCGTAGCAAGTAACAAAATGCAGCTCATTTCCGTAACAGATGCAAAATCAGTTAGAATGAGGATCTTACGGGCATGATACTGCTTCCTGGTTCATTTTCCGGAAGAATGAGTTCGCCAAGACCGCAGCGAGGACCACTATAATTGGATAGCATCAAGGAAACCCATAAAAGAATAAGTTTCTAGTAAACAGAAAAAGCAATTTGTCAGCGTCATATAACTAGCAACCTACCTTCCTAATAACCGTATATCGTTAGCGATCTTCATTAAAGAAGCTGCAACCGTGTTGAGGGCTCCACTAGATTCAACAAAAGCATCATGAGCAGCCTGCAAAAGGAGAATGAGCCTAATGAAAATAACGTACTAGTGTACTACACATTAAATACAAGGGAAAAGAGGTTTTAGTAACAAACCAAGGCCTCAAACTTATTTTCTGCTGTGACAAAAGGCAGATTTGTTTCCTCAGCTACTGCTGCTGCTATCTTAGCATCAAACCTGAATTTAATCCAGAAAATTATCAGTGCTGATCCAAATTAATTCTGTTAAAAGTTAAAGCATAAATGCTTACTTCAGACCAAAAAGCCTGGCCTGCAGTATTTATTTTCATAATAAAATAAACCCATATCCATAAGACCTCTAGAGAAAATGTCTAATTTTCAACAATTACATCCATAGTAAATTAAAACCCAGAAGCAGAAAATCAAGCCTCTGTGTCCAGACAATGTCCATTACTTTTTTATATTGGATGATTGTACGGAACATGATCATGCTTGATGAAAACTTCATATCTAATTGAATAATATGCCAAATGGAATGAAAAGAAATTTACTATCATAATAATTTTGGTAGACATCAAATAGAAACCAAGAAAAATAAAACAACAAACTAAGGTTAGAAAAAGAATATATAAGAACAACCACTTAGACGTAAAAAAGCATACATACCCCCTCTTTGTATTCAATCCAGTCCCTACAGCTGTACCACCCTGCGCAAGCTGCTCAAGTAACATCTCTACTCAGTCAGAATTCCAAAAGCAAATGATTGGAAAACTAGCAGTTAATGTTTGTACTTGAGTGTCTAACCTGATACATGCGTGGCAAAGTGCCAATCACTCGATCAATACCGTACTTCACCTACAGGTAAAGGAAACAGTCCGAGAAATCACTCCCCACAAGCCATCAGGATGTTACAATGCAATTGCCAATGATACAGAGAATACACAACTGCACGTGCCAAACATAAGCATACTTACCTGTGTAGTGTACCCACTAAACTCTTGTCCGAGAGTCAAAGGTGTTGCATCTTGAGTATGGGTGCGTCCAATTTTGACAATATCTTTGAATTCAATTGACTGGTATTTGTTTTTTTTTTAAAGGAAAAATAAAATAAAATTAATACTGATAAAATAAAAAATACTAAAAAAAGCATTAAAAGAAAAACAACAGCAAAGGCAAGTTCCTAAGTTTATAAAGTTCCTTCTAGGCCAAGCATTTTA